AGCATTTAGAGAATTCACTCTTGGAGTTGTATATCTCTTATACCAAGCCCTCAGAACAATTTCACTAATTGTTTGTTACAAATTGGCTTCTAAGTAAGATAACAGGTTGACTACATGTATTTACTTTCACTTCCCCTAAACCCTACTAAAATGATGGAAAGGGGATATATATATTTTTAAAGTCTTTATCCATAAAGATAAAGAATAGGAGAGGACATAATGACAATTAAATTTTTGAGGTTGGAAACCAGATGGATAAATGATAACTGATTTAGCAGACCTGAGAATGTGTGAGAAATGAGTGGAAGAAACTGAAAAGTAATTGGAGTTACATTGAAGAACTCCAAAATTAGTGTCACTATGGAAGTGGGTGTGAAAATGGGACTGATAACAGGGAGGCTGGTTGAAAGTCTATTTAAGAAGCAGAAAAAAAGGAGGCAGTTAACAAGCCAAAATTCTTGCTCCCACACAGTGCAGCTAGACTACTGCCTCTTTTCCACCTTGGCAGAAGATGAGAGAAGGTAAAACAAAAGTCCCTAAAATGAGGGCACACTGGCAGTTGAGAGTGGAACTCATAGAGAGTGAAAGTATTAATGGGAGGGGGTTGTCATCCAAGCTAATCCTCTCCACAGTAAACCCCACTACCAACAGTCTACCTAATAAGTCAGAGCCATTAGTCGGCATTTTCAACCCCCACTCTCACATATAAACAGACCACCAAGGTTACCATACACGTCAGAGGGAAGCCTATAACATGAAAGCAATAGATAAGCTCAAATACAAAAAGAAAATTGAAACACTTGGAGGTAACAAAGGTTACACAGGCACAAGAACACTTAAAATATTTGATATTTTGAGACATAAGGGAGGACAATAAATCTATAGAACAAGATTACAATATTGTATAAAATAAACACTTTCAGAAAACAAGTAAGAAAGCTCTTGGAAATTAAAAATGATAGCAGAAATTAAAGACCTGGGAGAGGTGAAATATAAAATTGAGAAAATCTCCAGAAAATAGGACAAGAAGGCAAGAGATGCAAAATAGGAAGAAAAGAGAAGAAAGTTATATAATGTCCAACACTCACAATAGAAGAGCTCCAGAAAACAACAACAATTATTATTTAGGAAAAAAATAGTATTAAAGAAAAACATTAAAATAAATTTCACAGGCTAGAAGGATATGAGTTTCCTTCCATCACTCCATTTAAGTGGCCCACATCAAGGCATATTATATAAAGTTTTGTCAACAAAGTCAACACCACACATGCCTATAGTCTAGGGGAAAAAGTTTATATACAAGGATACAAAATCAGGATGACTTTAGACAGCTCCAAAAGAATACTGAAAGCTGGAAGACAATGAAGAAATGCCTTAAAAATTCTGAAGGAAATTACTTTCAACATAGAATTCTATGCTTCGCCAAACAATAAATTTAGGGTGATGGTAGAATAAAGACATTTACAGACACATTTCTTGGCAAATGATGTGTTACGATTAAACAAATGACTAAATCCAGAAAGGAAGACTGTGGACTCAGAAAACTGACAATCCATCATGGGACAAAAAAGAAAGAGAATTCTTAGGGTAATGGTGAAGAAAATTTCACGCTGACAGCTATGGACCAGTTATAGAGTTATAAGTCCCTATTTGAGCAGATCAGAAGACTCCAGGAGAGATTTCTTCAAGATAAAATTGTTGGAACACTTGAAAAGATACAGACTATAGGTCAGTGATGGCGAACCTTTTGAGCTCGGCGTGATAGCATTTTGAAAAACCCTAACTTAACTCTGGTGCCGTGTCACATATAGAAATTTTTTGATATTTGCAACCATAGTAAAACAAAGACTTATATTTTTGATATTTATCTTATATATTTAAATGCCATTTAACAAAGAAAAATCAACCAAAAAAATGAGTTCGCGTGTCACCTCTGACATGCGTGTCATAGGTTCGCCATCACTGCTATAGGTGGAGGGCTTGAAGCTGAATTAGTGGTAATTATGTGGAAAAACTAAACAAAATAAACAATTATTGACTCCAAGAAAACAAAAAGTCATGTTCAAATGTAAAAGTAATACATTTCATAGCTCAGCTGTGCATAGTATTACCATATCCACAATAGTATAACAACTGAATATTAATATAACTAAAATTAAATTTATCTACATTGAAAAGATGGCAAGATGAGAAGAGTGTATGGGATAAGGAGGTAGAAGATATAGGTGAGAGTTAAAGAGAGCAAAATATTCTCTGGTAAATTAATATATGTATTTTACATACACATATGCACATAAATATATATGCATAAATATATATATAACATATAAACCAACATATATTAATATAAGCATATTATTAATATACAAGTGACTGCCTATGGGTAGGAAGAAATTGATAAGAGAAAGTGGGGCAAGTAGGGGTTATTAATTGTATTAATCTGCTTTTTAGTATTATTTGGTTTTTTTAAACTATTTGGTATATATAACTGATAAAACAAAATTCAAATGTTTCAAGACCATTCTTAGCTGTTACTAGAGAGATTCAGAAGAAGTAGTAGGGCCATGGAGAAGTCAAGTACCAAGCAATGATAAATTAGTTACCAGCAGGGAGGTTTGTCAAAGGGGTCAAGGACTAAAAAGATAGATTTTTAGTAACATGTGAGCATTTTTTAAGGCTGCTGGGCAATGACATGGAGAGGAAAACCAATTGAAGAATAAATTTCTGAGTATGCAATATGGTGATATTCATAATGGATACCCAGGCGATTATCATTTGAGAATTAAGAAGAGAACCCATGAAGGCTAGAAAACATCTACACATCTGGATTACATGCCTACTTAATGTTTATTACCTAACATTTAATTACACCATAAACCACACAATAGGTTACATGCCATGCTGCCTTACATTATACTATAGGGCCTATCTTAAATACTTGTGTATATAAATGATATTCTGTATGCAAATCCTCATGCTCTGCTCACGGTGGTGTCCCGCCCCCTAAGATCCATGCCACTTAGTCTATACAATGCTATTGATAATTTTCCTTATTGATACAGAGGAGATTTTGGTTGTTCATCAATTACTAGTTAAGGCAGAGTGTATTTTATATAAATATTATTTAAATCCCAATCAACTCTTCTATTTCAGCATGGAGCTATTTATGCCAAAATATTAACATTCTATAGGGCAGAGATCCACCCTGGTGATACAGGGCCAAGCTACTTAACCTGGGAAAAATGTGTGTTACATAGCCTTGAAAATAGATGCCTGGGGGTTAGCTGCTTAATGGAATTGCAACCAGGCTTCAGCCTTTACAAATACTTAATTGGAGAGTAAGGCAGAAACTTGTGTATGCTGGGTGGGCTAAAAGGCAGTTCTCCTCAATCTAACAAGAACAGGAGAATCATACACATGATAACACAAAGCAATGCATCAAGGTATTTCTTTAATGAACTTATTTTCATATCCCATGATGTCATCAATTCTCAGATTCCTTTTACTAACAGCCTTAACATGCCAAACTGGACTTTAGAAGACTTGGACTCTGTTCCTAGTTCTGCCATTACTGTGCTGAGTCAGAGTAAAATAAGCTATTAAGGTGTCCAGATGTTCCTTTCATTTGTGACAGTCTGCAAACCATGTCCATTCTTTCCTTTAAACCTCACAATAACTTGGACTTAGAAGTTAAAAGACTTGCTCAAGATCACACAGTTAAGAGCTGAGAGGCAGGGCAGATACTAGGGCCAAGGTCTTCTGACAACAGAACTCTTCTCATGGCACCCTGACCTTGCAGAGAAGGAATGGTAATTAGAAGACACACTTGCCTATTATTCACCTTTTCATGCCTTACTCAAAGGACATAGTGTCAAAGACATAGTGTGCAAGGGTAGCAGAAGAGGGCTTCACTCATTCATTGAAAATGTACTCAATTTAAAATGTAGAGATTGGCTACTTATTACAATTTGGGATCATACCAGGCCTACACTTGGACTCACAGTTTAGTAAAGTGGACAGATAGGTAAATAGTGTGATGAGGGCTGTGATAGAGGGAAACATAGGCTGCTAGAAATTCTGGATTTCTGGGCATCTCTCTCAGGGGATGTCATATGCTGGGATTTTTTAACTGATCAAAGGCAGTTCTGGTGGGGAAGCCTACAAGCCATGAGCACAGAAGAGGGTAGATCCCTTTGTGACCCACAGCTATTACAGGAGATGTTGCCTGTCCTAGAGGCTCCCCAGTACATTCTACATATTAAGGTGTTCCTCAAATCTTAGTTTGGTCCTAACTTGAAAAAGGCTCTTCTTGGGTGACTGAAGGCTGGAAAAGCCTTATTCCCCAGAGCCATTGTCCATAGGTCAAAGCAGGCTGGGTTGTGCGATAGTTGCAAACAACCTTCAACTCTCAGTGGCTTAACAAAATGGAAGTTTATCTCTGTGTGTTGGCCAGGGGCTCTACTCATTGTTAGACACTCAGGAACTGGGACTGGTAGATTCTCCATCTCTACATAGTCTTCCTCAATTCCCAAAGCAGGAAAAATGGGATATATAAACACACATTGTCTCTTAAAAACTTTCACCTGGAAATGATACATCCCACTTCTGTTCACAGATGATTGCCGGGAGCCGGTCCATGCTTGCTGTTTCAAGGGACCTGGTATATATGGCATATTGTTCTTAATATGTTTGCTCACCTTCTTGGCACTATGTGTTTTAACCAAGGTCTCCGGCAGATGATCAGCTAAAGTAAGACATATGACCATGTCTAACTTCTAAGGAAGCAGAGAAATGCAATCCTACCAGGTGCTGGGGAAAATGAGGGGAACAGGACTACAGTGGCGCCTTGACTTACGAGTGTAATTTGTTCCGTGACAGAGCTTGTAACTCAAATTACTCATATGTCAAATCTTAAAGTGAACGAGTGAGACAGGTGATGCTGGGCTGATGTTGTGGCATACACTGCGATGTTCGCTGCGCCAACTAGCAGTGGGGTATCTGAAGCTGGCTCGTAACCCGAATTTTAACTTGCAACTCGAAGCAAAAAATCGGCCGAGAGATGGCTCGTATCTCGAAAAACTCGTTAGTCAGGACACTCGTAAGTCAAGGCCCCACTGTATTTGTGACTATCCCTAAAATGAGCAGTGTTTTAAGAGTCTAAAGCAAAGTCTTTATCTTTTGGGATTTCACACTAGCCTGTGAGCTCCTGGAGCCAGAGCCTGTGCCTTGTGCGTCTCTGTATTCCAAGGGCCTAGCACAGAGCAGGACATGGAACAGAGTCCGTAGATACCTCTTGAATGAATTAATATGTGAACAGACAAGGACTCTTTCCTAAAAGACTCTTTCCTACTGGTGACCAGAAAAGTCTACATCCTTTATATATTTTTTAAATTAAGCTCAGGGACTAAATCTCACTCCTATTTGTGCCTTTCTATCATAGTGAGAAAGACACCCTGAAGGCCTGTGCTGCCCTGCCAGGAGGGACAAGCTCAGGTAACTGTATTTTGAGCCTCACTGGTAACTCTTGGGAATTACAGCCAGTGCAGCTCCTTTGTGCAGCCGAAGGATGATGCTAAGGGAAAGGTGGCCCAACAACCAAGCAACTTCCAGATGTGAGAAATGATGATTGGAGCACAGCCCCATGGGGGACCCAGATTATCCTCCCAAACATTGATGAAGACGGTGGCTAAATCTGCTGAGAACGGAGCTACGGCTCCATTTGAATAGATGCCTTTAGAACAGCGGTTCTCAACCTGTGGGTCGCAACGCCTTTGGGGGTTGAACGACCCTTTCACAGGGGTCGCCTAAGACCATCGGAAAACACATATATAATTACATATTGTTTTTGTGATTAATCACTATGCTTTAATTATGTTCAATTTGTAACAATGAAAGTGGGGGTCACCACAACATGAGGAACTGTATTAAAGGGTCGTGGCATTAGGAAGGTTGAGAACCACTGCTTTAGAAAGACACCCAGAGCAGGTACAGTGGGGCCTTGACTTATGAGTTTAATTCGTTCCATGACAGAGCTCGTAACTCAAATTACTTGTATGTCAAATCAAAAAGTGAACGAGTGAAACACGTGATGCTGGGCTGATGTTGTGGTGTTCACTGTGACGTTCGCTGTGCCAACTAGCGGTGGGGTATCTGAAGCTGGCTAGTAACCCGAATTTTAGCTCACAACTCAAAGCAAAAAATCGTCCGAGAGATGGCTCATATCTCGAAAAACTTGTTAGTTGGGACACTCGTAAGTCAAGGCCCCACTGTACTCTCTTTTCCAAAGTAGCAATGCCAAGTTTCTGGGCCTGAAGGAAAGGCCACAACATCAGATAATATAACTACATTCAGAAGACAGCAGCGTTGCTGGATGACTGCTAACATGTCTCAACAGTAGCCACAAAAGTCAACAAACCGGGATGGGTAACACACAGGCTATAATCTGATATGCTGCTCATTTATCACTGCCTTTCCTCTTCCAAGATGTTGGTGCTCTGGCAGTGATCTCTATCTTTGCTGTGCAGCTGTAGACAAAAGGATTAGTGATGGCCATGGGCGACATGCAACAAGATTGACAAAAGGCTCAGCAGTAAGAACAGTGTTCACCCAGTGCTGGGTGCAGAATGTGAACCTGAAGACAAGGCAGGGAAGACAGGGTGGTATATCTTTCCTAGGGTATGGGGATTGGTAAACACAGAACAAATAATGCAGGCCTTTTCCATGAGAGGAATTTGGGGACCACCCTACTTCCTGAGAGGTGGGACAATTTGAAGTTATCCTTTGCTACTACCAGGATCTGCAGCCTTCCCCAGTGTAGGCTCCCCTGGTGTTATGCGCCCTGCTTAGCTTCTGTGTTTGCACACAGGCCTGCTGTGTACCCCGCAGGGGCTGGCCAATCAAATGGGTCTGAAGTGTGCTGTAATTATATAGGATGTCCCAAAAAATGTATATGCATACTTTGAATAATTCTAAAGGCAGTGTTTATTAAAATACATTTCATTTTCACCCGACCGACATAACTCAGTGGTTGAGCCTGGACCTATGAACCAGGAGGTCATGGTTAGATTCCTGGTCAGGGCAGATGCTCTGGTTGAAGGCTCAATCCCCAGTAGGGGCTTATAGGAGGCAGCTGATCAATGATTCTCTCTCATCATTGATGTTTCTATCTTTCTCCCTATCCTTTTCTCTCTGAAATCAATAAAAATATATTAAAAATACATTTCATTTTCAAAATTGAGCTATCAGCTGTTAAAGTGTGTATACATTTTGGAGGGATACCCTGTTTTTGGGGTGGTCAGAGGCTCAAGGTGGTGCAGAGATATATATGTGAAATTACAGGACTTTTGCTCTTTCTTCCAGTCACTTTCCCCAAGCTGGATCCAGGGTGCTGAGACCTCTGCAACCTGAGGCTGAAGGCACATCAACCCAGGGTGCTGCCCCCAGACCTTCTCCCAACAGGTTTGCCTCAGCTGCCCGGGCAGACTTCTGAGTGGTGGCCCTTCCTTATGCCTAATGCTTGGAAGGTGAAGACATGAATTTAACTTTGGATCATTGGAGATCAGCAGCTTGTGACTGAGGAGTTGCCTGGAAATTCTGCTGATGCTACAAAAGCAAGAATAGCTTGCTAACTTTATGAGCCATCAGAGTCTTCGGGAATAGTGGGAAATTCAATTTCTCCTGGGGAAGGATAATCTGGCTGAACTGACCTGTTTTGAATGAGTCCTTGGAGGTGATAGAGATTCTCAATCCAAACCATGTTATGAATATGATACAAGAGTTTATTCTCTACATTTCCTGAAAAGGGCCAAATAGTAAATATTTTAGGCTTTACCAGACACATATGGTCTCTATGCTCCTCCTCCTCTCCTCTTTTCTTATTTTCCCCTATTAGAAACCATTCTTAGCTCAAGCACCATAAAGAAACTGGCCTTGGGCTGGATCTGGCCCACAGGCCTGAGGTTGCTGGTCTATGCTCTAGCATTTAGTGAAGAAACCCATCTTGTATCATACAAGGCATGATGACACTTAATCTGGTTTCCCAGATTAAGAGGTGAGTTAAGAGGGAGCAAAATGCAAAACAGGCAGGTGGAGATGCCTTGTAGACCAGAGCATTTTGGGGTCAGAAATGGGGCCTTATCCATTTTTATGTCCCTGGTGATTAGCACATGCTTGGCACATATGCGTCCCCCATTAATGCTTGTGAATGAATGGCTGAATGAATGAACAAAAGAAGCAGAACATTATGGTATTGCCACACAAGTATATAGAGAAACCCTTTGGGGATATTATTTATTTTCAGATCCTCTGAAATTCTCTCATTTTCTCAAAATGACCTTCCATTTTCCCCAGCAGAATGCTCACTTATATTCCCAAGAAGGCTTTTTACTAGATTCTCCTTATTTCCCCTTCCTTTGTTTCTTATTCTCTTATCATTGTCCTTCCCTCATGACATTCACTGCCTGGTGGATTCCTCATTCTTCTCCACACTAAGCAAACAGTCAGGCTTTCTGGGAAAAAGAGAGGCACTTCCTGCAGCTCTTTCCCCTCCTACTTCCTGAGGACTGAATGTTCCTCATTATCATACATGACAGTATACTCACAACCAAGGTATGGCAGGGTCAACTATTCATATAACAGAATCTCATTAATTTCCATTTCTCCAAAAGGCTTTTAGAAGGCAAACATGCTAAACACAGAAATGTATCACCCAGATGGGGAGGCTCACAGGTACATGTGCATGACAGCTCAGAGCCATGTGGAGTCACCCTAAGTGACACGTGGCAGCCCCTAATATACGCTGACACAGACCTCTGAGCCTCTCTTTCTGCCTTCTCATAGACTTCTCTTCAACCCCAGGGCTTCCTGGTCTTCCTCATCCACTTCAGAGCTACTTTGAGCCCCCTCATTGATTTTCTCTTTGTATACTTGAGCCAATTTCCCTCTTCTTTTGCAAATCCATACTGAGATAAAAGCACACTTGCTGGTACTCTTTAACTGAGCTCTGTCCCCCATAATTTATTAAAAGGTAACTATGCACCCCACCCCCTTGACACTGTGCTTTTCTATGGGCCCCCTTTTTACTGTAGTCTCCATGATGTACACATACTGTTTTATAGCCTGGCTCATGACTTAGGCAGGCTCATGACTCCTTGAAGACAAAGACTAATAAATAGTGACTCCCAGAAGCTTCTAAACAGAGATAGACAAAGATGGCTAGTCTTTTAAAATAAACATTTTGTGGCTAAACCCCATGTAAATATAATGCTCCCACAGGCATCTTGAATTAGTCAGGATGATCTAGGTTATGCTGTGGTAAAGATTTGCTACAAATATGCAACAAAGATTTTTTCCTCACTGATTCTACTTGTCCACAGAGGTTGATTACACTCTGCTCCATGTCTCCACTCTAGGGCCAGGCCAACAGAGCAGCCTCTGGCTGGAACACAACAAATCTCATGACAAAGGAAAAAGAGATTATGGGGACACATAAGCGGGCTCTGAAGTTTCCATCATATTCACTCACCTTTCATCAGCCAAAACAGAGTCACATGACCAAGACTGATGGGTAATCTGTGTGAAGGTCAGCAAATAATTTCGTTGATAATATAATTTATCACATATTGAAAACTTAAATTATCCTCTGAATAATTTAAGTTACACTCTGAGTAATAATATAATTGATAATAATATACAGGGAGGGACAAACATTGATTTATAGTTGTTTGTATGGAAAATAGTACAATAATTAATAAATAACAATACAAGAATAAACTCTGTGTTTCACCTGTAAACTTACTTTTGCCACACACTGTAATTAATAATAATTATCCTCTGAATAACAATAATGTCATCCTCTTCTTCTTCCAAGCCATCTCTTCATTCATATTTGGGTAAATGACATTAACATCTACTCTGTCATATTTCCCCAGGATGCTGCCAGAAGTATCTCTCTGATCCATAAAATGAATCATATCACACCCCTATTGAAAACCCTTCAGTGCCTGTGTATTGTTCATGGGATAAAGTCCCAAGTCCTTAGGATGACCTTTGTATTTTCTCACAATAGGGTGCCTGACAAACTTTATAAGTGGAATTCTTAAAAAAAAAAAATCAACCTTAGGTTACTTAGAATTGATGCAGCAAAGGGTATTAAGGGGAAAGTATAGATGGAGATAAAAATTCCACTTTAATGGCTTCATGTTCATTTTCCTGATTCCCCCCCCCCCCCCTTCAAAACCTGGTCTATTCTTCCCGTCATCCACCTAGAATGGTCTTATTTATCGTTCAACAATCAACACAAATTTCACCTATAGTTTGGACTCCCACTCTGTGTTCCCCAAAACCACTACCCAGGTTAAACTGGCAACTATTTCCTTCATGCCTTATTATATCTTATAGAATAGTAGCTTTTACACGTCTTTGTGCCCTCTAATACAGTGGGGCCTTGACTTACGAGGATCCCGGCTAATGAGTTTTTCAAGATACGAGCCGTCTCTTGGCTGATTTTTTGCTTTGAGTTGCGAGCTAAAATTCGCGTTACGAGCCAGCTTCAGATACCCCACTGCTAGTTGGCACAGCGAACGTCACAGTGAACACCACAACATCAGCCCAGCATCACGTGTCTCACTCATTCACTTTATGATTTGACATACGAGTAATTTGAGTTACAAGCTCCGTCATGGAACGAATTAAACTCGTAAGTCAAGGCCCCACTGTATATTTGACTAGAGGCCTGTTGCATGAAAAGATTCATGCAATAGGCCTGGGTCCCGGGTGCCGAAGGAAAACCGGTGCCGCTCTGGCTGGAGCCACCTTCAAAGCCCTCGCTGCTCCGGCTGGAGTCGCCTTCAGTCTTCGCTGCGCCACTTCGCACCTACGTATGCAAATTAACTGCCATCTTTGTTGGCGGTTAATTTGCATATCTCGCTGATTAGCCAATGGGAGGCATAGTGAAGATATGGTCAATTTCAATCTTTGTCTATTATTAGATAGGCTATCACAACCAGAAACACATATATATATACATATATAACACACATATATAAAATATGTATGAGTGTATACACAAGTGAAAGAAGACTATTAGGGAATAATATCTACCTTTGTGATTTGTTATACATTTTGTTATTTTCTATTCTTTCCTTTGGGATTTGCATTTAGGGCAACTCCATCTTCCCCATTCGCTTAAAGCTCTCCATTCTCAGCAACCAGTTCAGCTCACTTTAAGGGTGGGGTATGGTAGGGAGGGTTGGTGGGAATAATTCGTGAAGATTTCTTGTGAATTCAGTCATGAATTACAGAGTGTGTTGTATCTAGAGTCTAGCTGTTTGGCAGCAGAAGGGTTCTTCCAGGGTATCTGATGAGCCATATTGCAGAAAGCAGAAGATTTACACATATTTCTCTCCCCCGCCACAAGACTGAGTTTTCTGAGCAACAAACATGCTTATACATATCGGCACCTAGCACAGTGCCTGGATTATGATAGGCCCTCAAAATATGTTTGTTAAAAGAACATGTGATGCAACAACACTTTGTTCCCTCAAGACACTACCAAAGCAATCCCCCACCTAAACACCTAGGATGCCTGCTTTAGTCTGAATGCTGCCTTTTATTTATTTATTTATTTATTTATTTATTTAATATATTTTATTGATTTTTTTTTTTTTTTACAGAGAGGAAGGAAGAGGGATAGAGACTTAGAAACATCGATGAGAGAGAAACACAGATCAGCTGCCTCCTGCACACCCCCCACCAGGGATATGCCTGCAACCAAAGTACATGCCCTTGACCAGAATATAACCTGGGACCCTTCAATCTTTAGGCTGATGCTCTATCCACTGAGCCAAACCGGTCAGGGCTGAATGCGGTCTTTTAAAAAGATTTGCTGAATTTCTACTTTAATGGTGGAAAGGGAAGGAAGACGCATTGGAGCTTGTTTTAGGTCTAACCACCACTCCTGTCACTCACCTTCCCATCCCCCAAGAACAGGAGATGTTAAGAGGTGGTGGAAAACTTTTAATAAAATTCAGTCAGGTCAAGTGCTTGGGGGGATGCTTGGGGGTGCAAATGTGTATACATTCTAAATACGTCACTCACACTTGCCACTAAAGGTATGCAGAGTCCCCTGGAGTTTCCTAGTTCAGACATTCTAATCGTCCTGCATTCCCTGATCCCCAACAAAGCAAGGACTTCCCGTAGCTAAGTCGCAGGGATTGGCAGAATGCCAAGGTGGTCTTATTGCCAGGCTAATCATGCTTAATAATCAATTAGTCTTACTCATTAATATTATTAATCCTCTCCCCTCAGCACCACCTGCAATCAGTTGCATGATGGCAGACAGATGTTTCCCAGATGCTCACAAGGCCAGTTTTGTGCGTTTTCTTAACTCTCATCAGGCAGGCTGTGAAGATGCCTGAGGAGCAGAGAAAGGGACTGGAGGTGGGGGCAGAAAGATGCTGAAAGCAATGAATGAGATGAATTTTCAAAACCCAAGCTGTGTAAGCAAGGTCGGCTGTTAATTAACCTTGGGTTTGTTGAGAACATGTCATCCAGGCTGTGGCAAACAAAAGGTGCACCCCATCTGTGACTAGTCCTGGCTAGGGAGGGGCTGGTTGCAGGAAATAATCGCTCCTTGTCCCCCTCCCACTGCCTGGAGAGCACATTCCACCCCCACATAGTGGAGTGGTGGTGGGTTCCCAGTTTCTGAGGTGACTCCATGCACTTTTCAGTGTCTGGGAAGTAGGGATTGTGAGAGCCTGAGTGAGTCACAGTTGTATCACTAGGGACGTAGGGACAGCTTTTCTAGAATGTGAAAACTGAAGATTCTTACCACAGCAACTTGGATAAATTACATCTTGCTAATCAAAAACACTCTGTAGCAGTGAAGGTATCTGGCCTGGTGAGGATGAGTCCACAGCCTAGGTTTGTGTCCTGCTGAGGCCTTTTGGCTGGTGGAGCCCGCATGTCAATAGGGGTGGACTGGGCAGTGCTGCACCCTTACCACACCCCACTCTGTAGTCAGAGCCCAGAGGCTCCCCTTCCTGGCCGCTGTGGAAGCAGCTGGAGAGTGGGAGTGAGCAAACAGCTCAGGCAACCTCTGAGCCTGGGTGCTGGACTACTATAGTAATCTCTCTCTCTCTCTCTCTCTCTCTCTCTCTCTCTCTCTATATATATATATATATATATCCTATCTAATAAAAGAGAAACATGGTAATTAGTGTCACTCCGCTACCCTTCCCATTGGCTAATCAGGGCGATATGCAAATTAACTGCCAGCCAAGATGGCGGTTAACTGCCAACAAAGATGGCGGCTAATTTGCATACCGCAGGCAGGATGGGACAGCGCCATTCTGCCTGCCCCGCCGCCATCGGGCCTGCTATCTGTGACCTGGATGGCGGGCGACCCCTGTGCGACCTGACCCAGGGCTGGCGGGGCATGACCCTGGCGGTCCGCCAGCTGTCACGCCCCCAACCGGCCCTCCCGCCGGGAGATCCGGGCTGGCGGGGTGACTGCTGCCCATCAGCCATCAGTCACGCCCCCAACCAGCTCTTCCGCCAGGAGATCTGGGCCGGTGGGGCGACTGCTGCCCATCAGCCATCAGTCACGCCTCCCGACGGGAGATCCAGGCTGGCGGGATGACTGCGACCGCCAGCAGTCTCCCCGCCAGCCTGGATCTCCCGCAGCAGTTGCTTTGCCAGCCTGGATCTCCTGCAGGAGATCCGGCACTGGCGGGGCGACTGCTGCCAGTCAGCCATCAGTCACGCCCCCAACCGGCCCTCCCACTGGGAGATCCGGGCAACTGCGACCGCCAGCAGTCTCCCCGCCAGCCCGGATCTCCTGCAACAGTCGCCCCGCCAGACTGGATCTCTCGCAGCAGTCGCTCCTCCAGCCTGGATCTCCTGCGGGAGATCCGGCCCTGCTGGGGCGACCGCTACCTGTCAGTCACCAGTCACGCCCCCAACCAGCCCTTAATGTGGTATACAGGGAGATATTAGAATAAGTTTAATCACTTTATCAGTCATTATTTGCATCAGTGTTGTTTTTACATCATGAGTTTTTTGTTATATCATTTTATTTTGTTTATTTATTAATAAAATTATGTATTATTTTCATATACATTGTACTCATTTCCTTTTATCTCTCACACTTTTATTATAGAGAAAGGGCAAATAGCAACATTAAAATATTTCCTCTAATTAATTCCCTTTCAATGTGCACGAATTTCATGCACCAGGCCACTAGTGTATATATATATATATGCAAAGTGTCCCCTGGGGAGTGAGACCGAGAGACTGGGAGTTCGATCATTTGCTATGATGTGCGCTGACCACCAGGGGGCAGCGCGGAATGAAGGGAGGCCCCAGCCGGCAGTTGGAAGGCCCCTATCAGCCCTGATCACCAGCCAGGCCTAGGGACCCTACCCATGCATGAATTTCATGCACCAGGCCTCTAGTTATAATAATAAAAATAAACTTGTCACCAGTTATTGAAGGTGTGCCAGGCTTGCGTTTAACCCTCACAACAATCCTATTAATATTGTGGCATCACTGTCCCATTTTACAGTTGTAAAAACAAGTCCAGAAAGTGCAAGTTGACATCCTTTTGTGTAAGTCCACATCCACAGCCATGGCTGAAAGTTAAGCAGTCAGAATTTGAACCCATGTTGTCCAATTCCTCCCATGTTGTCCAATTCCTAATTGCGCCTCATTTCCCTGTTCTATAAAAACTCACCATTCTTGACCCTAGAATTGTTTTTTGGTGATTTCTGTAG